GTTTCAGAGCACAGGCCACGCTTGCGGTACGAGGGGTCTGCGCACTCGAGAATAGGAAAGGCACAGATAACGCGCCATTTTTAAGTGATGCATTTGTTTTTACGGCCTAAAAATTGGAGGTAGAAATTAATAGAAGCGTTGACGCTATCGTTATCAATATTTAATTTGAAGTTACTTTGAAGCACCCCAGCACTTTTTGCCGTTGCAACACCCTCAGTTTTCCAGTCACGTGGCTGACAGGTTAGAGACATTAATCTAATCGCGCCAGGGCTCATAGACTCATCATAGCATATATATTCGGAACACCGTTTCGCGAAGACAGTTGCCAACAGAAGTAAGGTCCATTAGGAATCGAAAGATGGCGAAAGTAGCAGCTCTACTGATTGGAATCGCACTACTTGGCGTGGTCTCAGGTGAGGGGAGGGGCTCTGAGAAGGTGGTGACCACCCAGACTTTAAAGTCGATATTGTCGTTTCCTGGATAGTTTTTGGTTCCGTCCCTGTGTGGTAGACAGTGAAGCAAAACGACCACAGCGTTTGACAGTCATCAATTAAACTAGCAAGTTATAAACTTCAAAAACTCACTAGTGTTTAACTAAAACGTTAAGACTTCAAAATCAGAGGTTTTACGTATTAAAGGTACTTTCCATAGTTGTACACTTATAACTGTCGAAATTTCGATATAAAAAGTAAAGGTTGCCCTCCAAAGAAACAATAAGGCATCCATCACCTATCATTTAATATTTTTCGCTATCTCATGTAGCCCGCGTTTTCTAAATGTAGTAAATGGTAGTTCATAGTTTAGTTATGATATCGCTAAATGCAAATTGGTCGTTACCAAATTTAACAAACCCGGGTTTCATTAGTAATGACAAAATTTGAAATGATGGGTGACGGGTTTCTAGTTGTATTGAAGTGCCACTCTATAGTCTAGTTGTCACAGTAATTACTAAAAAGAAGTGAGCAATGCTTTGATTGCTCTGATAGCAGGGGGCTTGGGACTTTTTGGTACACCGGTACACTGATAAGCTAATGAGTATGCAATACTTCTGTTTCAATAGGATCTTGACTAGTTGCACCCGGTGGTACAAGAAAGATGGAACCATTTTCTTGCAACTCAACGAAACGTTCATATGTTGCAGTTTCATCGGGACAGGCCGGTATCTCGAGAGTCGGGACTAACAGTATCCAATTTGCGTGTCCTGATGGCCACTTCCAATACATCATCGTCACCATAACCACCAAATTTAGAGCCGTTGACGCACCACACACAAATTGGGCTCAGTTCAACGTTGAGGTCAACGGTCTGCGACTTGCAACGATCACCAACTCTATATACGTTATTAAGGGCGGAGCCAAAGGGCACTATTGGGGTTATGAGACATACGCAGTGTCTCAGAAGATGATCAATTATATGGTGCTTCCGGGTAACAGTGTAAGTGTCAATTTCCTTAACGGGGAACAGCATATTAGCAGTGACATTCGTGTAGACCTATCTAACTAGGTCACAGTGAACAACCCAAATTTACACCTGACACGAGGGGTTTGATACAAACTGCCGGCATCAGCCCACTTTACATAAAAAATAATTCAGTTGTGCCACCTTGTTCCTCTCTAATTACACCCTCAATCGCTTAGTGACGTTTGTGTTGGTAAACTATCAATTTACTAGTGCAACTTTACGATGTACACAAATTTGTTAATAAATGGCAACAAAATCGTTTATATTATAGATCCATTTCTTATCAACAAGATGCTTTTGTTGATAACAGCAAACAAATTTGTTGGTACCTGATAACAATTTTGTTGTTACCTTGCCGTTGCTTACAATTAGATACAGCAAGAAACGAAAACCTCGGTAAAGGTGGATTCAGAGATCCCTAAAAGCGAGCGTGATTCACACGCAAAGCGCGATTTTCACGCCCGGCGTGAGGAAAGTTGATCCCTGATTGGCTTCGTGAAGCTTACGAAGCGTGAAAATCACGCCGCTGGCGTGAAAATAACGCTTGCATTTCGTGAACTCTGAATCCACACTAAGGAATCTTGAGAGTGTACATATTTGTATCTGATGAAGGTGTGCGGAAAGACACATCTAACCTAGGTACGAAAATTGTCACTCCCCATTTAGAGTGTATTCCTTTGTAGTCGATGTTGTGTATCGATGTATCGAATCCGAACATAAGGCTTCCGTCGAGGCGCGAACACAAGACACATTGATTTGTGTGATGCGCCCCATAAAAGGGGGAGGCAAGAAGGTGGCGGTGGGAAAGAGGGGCGCAGAGGGGGGGGGGGTAAAGTCACACCGCTCATGCGTACCAGGGGCCGGGCAGTGCCCTGCTGTGGCAGTGCCCCTCCAGGAAGCCGGAAGCAATTATCAACTTAAAAATAGGGCGCGCGTTGTTTGAACCTCGCCGCCCCTAAAGCCCATAGGAGGAAGGGAAGGAGGACGAAGTGTTCCGGGAACGACAGGCAACCGCGACACCTCACCAGAAATACAAGAGGGGTGCTTGCTGCATCCTCCTACCAATTTTTCATGTATTCTCTTTTTTTGTGGAACTTTTAAAAATACCCTACTAGAGCGTAATAAGTCCCACATATTTTTTATTTTCGAGGTGCTCCAAATAGAGCATAGAGCTCGGCGTTTTTTTCCTCTTCCTGCATTCCTCTCTGACATTATTTTTAATCCAAAAGATGCAATTAAGATTCCGCAGACGTTATGACTTGCTCGTCCTCCTCCGCTCGTCCGGCTCGCCTCCACCACTCGTTGTGCTGGCCGTGGTAATGACCGCCAGCATCAAGTGCAGCATGCATCTACCCTGCTGAGAATAGCGTCGCGGGCATGTCAAGAAAAACACACTTTCGACCGTACCAAGGGTGACCTCGGAAGGTACTTCACTATAGTTAACAAAAACAACAACAAAAAAAACTCCGATTTTTTAAAATATTACTGTTAGAAATTTTAGAGACGGTAGGCAAGCCCGCCCGCACGGCAGCATATGCGGTACAGTATAAATAAAAGTACAAAATACTCAAGGGTCTGTGTGGTAATTCAGGTAGCTATAATTATTATGTTCTATATTTATTTATTTTTAAATAGATTTTACGTCTAAGTAAGGAGCTGTCACTCTGCCACTGGAGGCGCGTTATCGTGCTTTTTCGAGCTGCCGGCGGCGAGCAGTTTTCTCCCGTCCGCGGCATAGAGACCAGGGTTCGCTTTTATTTTTATCACACGCCGGCCCTCCCCCTCTCTGCTCCCCCCGACCGCAGGTGGCAATGCCAGCTGTAAACGTAATCTCAAACACACACACAAAACAACGCACACACACACACACACACACATTAAACGCCCTCGGCTTACCGTTTTGTCCGCCAGACACGGAACAATCAATGGCTAATTGTTTGTTCAGATTAAAGTCAAGTTGTTGTCAGTACACCGAGCGCATGTTCTTTGACAACTTTTCAGTTGAGGAAGTAATATAATTAAAAGCATGAGTATTGTGTTAGTTGCATGGATTTAAATTTTCCGGACGAGCACTTTTAGAAAATTAAATCCCTGCTCACTTTTTACGAACATTTCTGGAAAAATTTCTTTTTTTGAAATTTTTCTGGAAAAGTTATTTTTTTCCGAAAAAAATTCGGATTTTAAAATCACTCGTTAGTTGTGCTGTGCTGAGTCGTGTTAAGTTACCTTTGCGCTTCTTGTCCTCCTGCTTGTGGCGCTTGCGCCGGTGCCACTCCAGCATGCGGTGCTGCGTCCGCCACACGTTGTTCACGTTGTTGACGCGCTTGTTGAGGTTGTTGCGCCGGCACTCGCCCCACTCGTTGTTCTTGTTGTTGTTCTTGCTCATGTTGCGGAAGAGCAGCTTGTCGTTGACGACGTTCTTGCTGCTGTTGTTGTTGTTCTTGTTGAGGTTGTTGGTGAGGCTGCGCGGCGGGGCCGCCGGCTGCGGGGGGCAGCGCACAGTGTCCTGGGGGCCGTCGGCGGCCCCCTTCCCCGCGCCGGCCCCGGTGGTCATCTCGACGATCTTCATGACGACGCAGAGCGCGGCGAGCATCCCGTCAATCGTCGTCGGCGGCCCCCAGGGGGGTCACCGGGCCGAGCGGGGCGCGCGGCCACCTCACAGGGGCGTGGGGCCCCATCGCGGAGGGGCGGGCCGGGACAGCTGCAGGCAGAGCCACGTCAGGGGGGTGGAGGGAGTACACCCGAAGTGCACCCGGAGTGCACCAGAAGTAAGCCCGAAGTTAAGGTTAACCCAGAGTACACTCGGCGTACGTGGAGTACACCCGGAGTACTGTCGGTCCGGGACATGGGAGCACATCAGTTGCCGTCAGTCGACGATCGTCGCTATCGTCCTACTTTCACGGATCGCCACCGCACCGCCGCCGCCCCCGTCCTATCCTGCTCGTCTCACTCCGCCATTTCTCCGAGTGCTAGAGAGGCAGACACAGCAAGGCCAGAGCGCGCTTAGTGCCGCTCCCCCCGCTGTGGACGTCATTGGCCCCCATCATCGCTCTCTGGTCCAGTCAGTTGTTGTTAAGCTACACCCCCACCCCTCACCACGCCGTCTCAATCCCCCCTCTCTTTCCCCCTCACAGCATTATCGGGACACCCTGTGTGGAACAGGGACACCGGATCCCCCTCGCCGACGTCATTGTCCCCGCCAAGGCCGCGGCAGACCCTTCGCGACACGACTGACTGTATCTAACATGTAACGCGCCCCGCACCGCCCACGCCCCGTCGTTCTCACGCCGTTTAGCAACCCCCCACCATTTGAGATCTAAAGCCAAGCTCGCGTTGCTGCTACTCGCGACTAGTACATCGGCATACCGTACAGTAACAGCGTATCAAGTCGTTATCGAGAGTATCGAGAGCCACGTCACTTTCGCCGTTGTGATGCACAGCAGCCCATCCCGCCGCCCGGTCCTGCCTCGGTGAGAGGCTGCCCGACAGGCTTAGGCTCCGCTCCCGGCCCCCCTCGGGTCGCTCCTTATCGCCAACGGCGCTCCACGGGTCAGCGAGGCGGGGCGGGGCGGGGAGGGAAAGGCGGGAAAGGGCTGCTCGATAAGAAGGCCGGGTCGCCTCGTCGCCGACGGCTGCAAACTCTGCAGCTCCGGCGCGGCCATCCTATATATGCGGCAGCGTTGCCAACCGGTCCGCCACTCGGTGCTCAACAAGACGGTCGCGGAGAATCAGAAAAACACCCAATAATACCCGACGCCTACCGAGGATGACCGAATGATTATCGTTTCCCCTCAGCCAAAAGCGACGCGACCCACCTCTCCCACGATATCGTGTGTTTGTACTTCGTTTTTGAACGGTATTGCTCAATGCTCGCCCGCGAGTTATGACACACACGGATCGGCATTATTGCGTGGGGCCGGTATGTCCGGGTGACACATTTGAGGGGACTGTACCCGGGGGGCGGGCCGGATACAGTCCGCCGCCCTCCTAGACGCGACTCGCCCGCGACCACCAGCAAAAGCACCCCCCCCCCCTCTTTTCCTAGTTCGCGCGGCCGCGGCCGCTACCGATCGTCGCCGGGCCGGCTGGCGCGTCGCGGTCCAACGGAGTCCGCGAGGTCCCTTATCCCCCGTTTCGCGCGTCCCCGATGGAGGTCCCCAAGAGCAGCGTGGCGGGGCGTGGCGGGGCGCGGCGGGGCGGGGCGGG